TGCCTTCGTATTCGCGTCAAAGCATCTCTTTGGCTTGAAAGAGGTCGATGCTCGGCATATTTTCGATGATCATGATAATTTGGTCGTAGTCGTCCGGGAGACTTCCCAGGAGGATGACGAGTTGTTCGTCATACGAGATTTCTTCACCGATGGCCTGCATCGACATGCATAGCTCATCGAACTTGAGGAAATGGTCCATGACATTTCCGACCTTGACATCTTGAAGTCGTGTAGCTTTCTGCGCATTTGTACCCGATTATGGATACTACGTCTTAAGAAGAAGCTCTTGAGTATTTTCCAGGCTTGGGCAGTCGTCTGCGCATTGCGTATCATCGACTATAGGTTGACGATGATCATGGTCGATATCATCGCAAAGGCCTACGTATCGTTGAATTCCCATTCAGACGCATGCGCGTCACCAGCACTCGGGGCCTTCGTTGCGTCGATGTGTTGGACAAGTCCCTTTTTTGCGAGTTTCACTCGTGCGTTAAACTCCCACACTAAGTAATTGTCTTCGCGGAGTATGTCCCTCGCATCACTGGTTGTTGGGCTCATAACCTTTTAAGTTTTTAAGAGTCGAGAGGATGAGAAGGAGACTGTTGACGGTGATTGACTCCTACTTATGCTGTCTGAAATGACTGGTTGCCACGCGCTCTAGAATGAATGGTTCCTAGCCTACTCTTGAACTTGAACGTAACCTTCTTCAACCTCAACCTGATGCTGGTTCTGATCCTTGATCACGTCATAGTGAGGAACCTTGCTGACTCCAGGATGACGAACTTTGCTGACTTCAACAGAAACAACCGAAAGCATGGGTCGACTTTAATTTGTTGAATGAGTGGATTGGCCGAGAGTGCCAGACGCCTACGGCAAAACGGTATTTACAGATCGTTGGCAAATTCACCTCTCAAACAAAGTCAAGGCTAGGTGCGGTTGAGTGTCGAGCTGAACGTCGAGTTTGCCGCCGTCATCGTTCGAAATTCGCCTGATCGCCTTAGCGTTTTAGAATATCAATTGCCTGGCGTGTGTATAATTGTTAAGTGAACATCGCATCTGCAACAACGCATCTGCACAGTAGCA